AAGAAACACCATATGAAAGCAGAACTTTCTCTCTCTCTGATCTTAAAAAATGATATTCTAAAACAGTTGCTGCCTTCTTAACCACAGTATATTCGTTATATGATTCTATCAGCTATTACCTCTATATTTCTATATTACTCGTGCAATCATTTTGAAATCATATTTGAAAAACAGTTTCCTTACACATTCTACTGTGCACATGTACTTTCATATATGCTTATGACACAATATTTCTCAAATATTCAGGGCTAGTTTTCTAGGTATAAAATGAGTTTATGATTAAGTATTAAATCAAGGTTGAAGTGTGTTGCATGATTAGAAATATCACTCTTGGGAAGAAGCCCAAAAATATTGTCTAAAACTACTTGATGATGTATTGAGTTCAACACATTTTATTGGGCTCTCAGAGCTTATTTGCTTAACACCATAAAATACTTAATACTGGACAGAATCCAAACTTCCAAAATGTTATGCTGTGACCTGTTCACCTAAAAAAGAAAATATAAATAGAGACATCAGATCACAGATACTATAGGGTATCTATCTACCACAATTATTACTGTCTGTCCAAACTTCAAGATTAGATTAGAAATTCTTCCCTTAATGCTCAAATCAATTCAAAACACATTTTGGCTTAAAATAGATTTTTACCACTTTCTCTCAAAAACTTTCAAACACATCTTTTAATTCTAAGTTTACCCAATCAACATGTCTAGTAGGCCTGTGCGAAGCAGCTAGTACTTGCTTTGGATTTGGATTCAGTCAATTCAGGGGACAGTGATGCGATTCGGCAATTCGAGTCACTGTCCTGATTCAATTCAGCCAAATCTCCAAATCAGCCAAGCCAGGCCCATCCTCCGTCCCTCTCCCAGCCCAGCAATGGCTGCCCTGCCTGCCTCAGCTCTCAGCACTTGGGGAAAAAAAAGCACCGGATTAACAGGTGCTGCTGGGCAGGGAGCAATCCCTGCTGCCCCCCACTGCCCCACGCTGTATGGGGGGCTCTGTACAAGCCCCCCGACCCCCCCCAGTGCCCCCATGGGTGCCCTGCCTGGGCAAGCTCCAGTCCTTTAAGAAGAAAAAAAATACCTGAAGAAACCCCCAGACTCACTGCTCCTGCAGGCAGGGGGCGATCCCCGCTGCCTGCCACTGCCCTGCACCATGTGGGCGGTTCTGCAGGAGCCCCAAAAGCCCCGAAGCTGCACCAGGAGCGGCAAGTCCCAGGGCTTTTCTCGGCTTTTTTTGTTTCTTAAAGGGCCAAAGCAGGCAGGGCAGCCATGGGGGAGCAGGGGTCGAGGGGGCTCATGCAGAGTCCCCCATGCAGTGTGGGGGGCAGCGGAGATCACCCCCTGCCCGGCAGCACCTGGTGATGGTCCCCTGCCCCTCCTCCAGCTCCCCCTCCCCCGCCCCCAGTACTTACCAGCTCAGAATGACTGCAGCTCCCAGCTGCAGCCACTGGGGACTTTCCGAATCATCAAAGCTCTCCGAATCTTTGCTGAAGATTCAGAGAGCTTTGAATCGATTTAGACCTTTAAATCGGTCCCCTGATTCAATTCGGATTCGGAGATTCGGCCACCGAATCGGGTCAAATCTCTTCCGAATCGAATCACCACCCAAAGCTTTGCATAGCCCTAATGTCTAGCTCTGAAGCTGCCATGGTACAAGCTAAAATTAGCATCTAGTCTTGATTAAAGACATTCAATTTCTCTTTCATTCATAAAGCAACGGGAGACAGTTTGACAGACTGCATTTTTAATTTTTTTCATTTACATTTTCATTTTATTTTCAGGTGATTAACTGATACCTGTGATGGCCTTCTTTCTGATTGTCAGTTACATAGGCTATGAGTTGGGATAAAGCCACCATCAAGATATTAACTTACTTTGAGTTTTGCTCCAGTTCTGTTCTAAATGTTTTTATTAGTAAAGTTCACACACAACTATTTAGAAGGCCACTAAAATCAGACTTTCCATAAGGCATAAAATATATAAATACCTAAGTACAATGTTGCTAATGACTGGCTTTAAAAAAAGAAAATTAAAATTTGACAGTGTCCAGGGATACAAAAATGTGTGCACAGAGCTATGTAGATATACATAGCTACAAAAATATATGAGCAGAGAATGTAGGTATACATTCAGTGCAACACAAGAATCTCACAAAGGTAGTCTAATTATTACACACAACAGAATTACACACTGGACTTCTGGTACCAATTATTAAAAAGAATACAAGCTTTCCTTTTCATAAAATTGTTTTTCTCCTGTAGCTCTTCAAAAATGATTGAGCTTGTATTCCTTTACAAACTCAATTTATCTTAGTGCCAGGATTCATTTAATTATTTCCTTTTTAATATTCAGAAGTAGCAAAAATCTGAATAAAAAGAGAACCTTAGCTTGACTTGATTGATCACTCCCTTTGCAATAATTTGGGAATTTAGAGAGTTTTATAAAACTCAAAACAAAGAACTGAGGACTGTGAAAACTCATATATTACATTTCTCTTCTTTCTCATACTTAAATCGTTACTCCGGAGACTCTCTATTCCTCAATGTTAATGTAGATTTTTGTTAATATGAGCCTCCTCTCTCCCTTTCCAATTTCCCATAAAACTACTTACTTTTCTGTATTTTTAGCTCCTGTATTATATCATTATACATATGTGATAAAAGCTCTTCTTGGGATTCTGTACCATCCAAATAAACTGAGATAGAAGAAAACAAGAAGGATTTCAAACTATTATTATACTATATAGTTTGTTACTTTCAATACATCTGTATAGTATTTAATTCTTAATACAACCCCCTGTGGAACCTCTTGGTGGATAGTGTTCCGACAGAAATAATATTTGTCCCCAATACCATTTCAGTTGTACACAATTAAGGGGATGAATCCAGCCCCAAATATGAGCCTAATCTAAAAATATTACTGGCCCACAAACTTCCCAAAAGATAGAGAACACAGGACTATGGTAAACTGAGCAATTCAGCAGAAATAGTTTCCCATGAACATGGTAGCCCTTTGCAAAGAGCTGGAAGAGTTAATTCGAGTTACTGTATCTCACAATACTGATGTAACAGTTACATTCTTCAGATTGGTTATGGTAACTTCCCTTATAAGCAGATGCTAGGGTGAAGAATGTATTTTGAGCCCCAGATTTCCAGGGTCATTTTATTTAAATTAAAAGAACAAAGTAATCCACATATGCATGCACACACCAAAAACTGGCACTGAAAACAAACTTAAATTATGCATCTCCATTTATTTCTTTCCATCAGCAACAGTTAGCTGTAGATAATGGCACCAGCAAGGGACACTTTTTTCAGTTATTACTAAAGATGCAAAAGCATCAGCAAATTGAGGACTGCAGAAAACAGTCTTATATCTACAAGGAGTTCTACTACCCAGGTACTGGGGACCACAGCTTCTTTGTCAACAAGAGTTCAACCTCAATTCCACAGGTAGCTGAGTATTATTCTGTTGTAAGCAGTTATTAAGTAAGCTTGATACAACTTTTCTGGAACCTTATAGTCCTTCTCCTGGAAAGACATCCAGCATTTTGAAAAAGTCCAGCATGGGCTTTTGACCACTCATAGTGATATCAATCAGTCTTAACAAACAAGCAATTCTTAAGCTCTTTCTTTATTGCCTAGTCTGAAAAACAATAATCCTGTATTTACGCTCCATTCAAGAGAAAAGAGCAGTAACTCTGTAAAGTAAAAGAAATTCTCTAACAGTGAAAAAAATACCCTTAGGGCCACTTTTAAAATATAAAGCTTCCACTAATTTCATAGCTGGGCATTTTTTTTTGTTTTGTTTAAAGCAAAGATATTTCAAGACACTTTAAAACAATTGTAAGTCAGTGTTACGAGTGGTTAGTCTCAAGGGAGCCAGGTGAGTATAGATAAGGATAGTGTATGACAACATGCCCTGTAATTCCAGCTTAATCCTTTTACAAGTGACCAAGTGGACCTGACCCCTAAAGGTTTTTGTAATAGTTTCTGTTCTCTTCACAACGTCGTCTCTCACATACTTGCATAAATTTAAACACAGACTTCAACAGATTTCCCCATCTTGGTACAGTTCATCCCCATGGAGAAGGCCTGGAGGAGGTTCTACATACTATGTCTTTGATGCACTGGCCATTTCCACTGCAGTGAAATTCACCTCTAATCTTTTTGGTACATAAGACTGGCACAGTATCAACCAATATCAGAAGGAAGGCTTAAATCCTAATCCTGGTAAGTCTTGTATGTCATTGACTCCCATTTCAGTGCAATTCAAAAGTGTTCAACAACCTGCAGGAGCTACCCAATATGTCGCATGGTCAGACTCATAGCACAAGCAAACTTTATGCTAGTTTACCTTCACTAATAACTTCGCATAGCTTACCATTCCTGGGTGCATCTACATGTGTGCTTTAATGTGCATTAAAATAGGCTAATACACATTAAGCGTCACTTAAAAAGCATGCTCTTTAGTTAATGTGCATTAAGACAGGCTAATGTGAATTTTCCTAGTACCTCACAACGGAGGTACTAGATTAAATGAACATTAACTAAAGCACATTAATGCACATGTACACACAACAGACGCTTGGAGAAATCTGTGTAACCTTGTTTTATTCAAGACCTAAATCTACACTTTAAACTTTGGTCTACTGCATTCACTGATGGATACACATTGTGACTGTACGTTTAAATCACAGCACACACACACACACACACACACACTCATTTCATGGACTTCACCGATCAAGTGGACCAATGTGGTTTTGTTTTCAGCTGTAAATGTTATAGAGACAAGACACTCCTACCACAAAGAGTACTAAAATATTATAGCTAACGGGTCTAAACCTGTTGCACAAATGCCATGCAAGTTTCTAAAAAAATATACAATGTTTTTTGGTGGGAGGCCAGTGTGTGACAGGATCACAAGAAGCTCCTCAGGCACCACTATGGTCTCCTTTCCACCCCTTACAGCCATATCCAGTATCAACTAGAACAAACCACTTTAAACTCAAAGTCCCTTCCTCTGGGTCGTCATACCACTTTCAGGCCATCTTCCCATTCTCTGGCTCCCTCTGCCCTGGGAGTACCTACCACGGCCTGCAGCTCCTACTACCCCCCAGCCTGAGCTGGCAGGAGTGCCACTCTCCGCAGAGTTCAGGGCTGGACTTCCCTTCTGCCTCAGGGGCCTGGGCTTATATGCCCTGGCTACCCGCTTCTGGCCAGCTGCTTTCCTGACCGGATGCAGGTGTGGCCCTTCAGCCTCCAGGGCAGCTTAATGCCAGTGTTCTTGCTGCCTAACCCAGGCTCTGCACTACTCCCTTACTGCTAGGCAGCTAGCCCTGCAATAGGCACATGCAGCTTTTGGGTCCCTGGCTGCTTACTCCCCTGCAGCAAGCCCATAATATGTAACCTTCCCCAATCTGGTGACATCCCTGCTTCAGCTTCTCCCTTAAAGTAGCAAGAGCCCCTGGCTCACTCTTACAGGGGGAACACTAATTTGTGTGTGTGTGTGTGTGTGTGTGTGTGTGTGTGTGTGGGTGTGTGTGTGTGTGTGTGTGTGTGTGTGTGTGTGTGTGTGTGTGTGTGTGTGTAAAGATGATATACACCATACCAATGTTGCTCATCTTTTCTTCAAATTCACTTTTATGTTTCAGATACATAGGCCACACATGTCCATCGAAGTAGCCTGGTGGGTCTGCCGGCTGATAGACTCTGGTACTGCAGAAAAATAGATTTGCTTTCTTACCCAAGTTTCACAATATTACAATGTTTTTCTGGTGGGCACATGTATACTCTTCTGTGCTATAGTTCAAATTTCTATCTGAAATCTTGAAGTGGGGGAAAGCTGTGGATCTTTTGGTTGACGTGTAAGGAGGCTTATCAGGCATAATGGTTTATTATACTGCCCAAGTGATTTTTATGTAGTGACCCGGTCTATTTCTGTGCATCATTCCAAGTAAAAGACCAGATAAAAGCAAGTTACCTGTCATAAGCTTTATTTCATGTGTTAGACAAGAAAGACCAAAATAAATCACTAAAACTTCATTTTTTCACAATGTTTCAAGTTTTTAAACATAAGCAATTTTGGCTTCTCATCAATTTTCAGAAGTGCTGAGCTCTCATACTTTAAAGATCAAACTCTCAAATTGTCTTAAGTAAGGCAGACATAGGCAGCCATATTAGGGTGAAGTTGAGCAGTGTATAGAAGTGTAGTATAGTGTACAAAGCACTGTATAGAATTTACCATTCAAGTCATTTTTTAAAGGTGTACTGCCTAGTTTTGGACCATGGCATGGTCCACTTCCTCCACAGCTGCCCTCTCTTCCCCCTAATATACCTAAGGTACATTGATGATGTCTTCATTGTATAGACATGTGGGAAGAAATCTCTAGAGAAATGTCACCAGGACTTTAACAACTTACACCCCGCCATCAAACTAACTCTGGAATACTCTACACGGCAAATTCATTTCCTAGACACTACAGCAAAGGTTTGCAACAGCCACCATGTTGTACCAGAAATCAAATGACCATCACAGCTACTGTCACACCACCAGCCTAAACACACCACTACATCCACTGTCGACAGCCAAACTCTGCATTACAGCTGTATCTGCTCTGATCCCACCAACACACTTTAAGGATCTGGAAGAGGGATTCCTATAATTATAATTACAATATGCTCCCAAAACAGGAGCCACTCAAATCAACAAAGCCAGACTCAGACCTTGCTCTGAGCTGCTACTATATCAAAGGCCTGTGGCAGAATACTTTAACCTCCCTAGACATATCTTGACCTCAGGGCAGCTGTTCATAGGCTGCACACCTTTAAAAACTGACTTGAATGGGAAATTACAGAACAAGAAATCATCCATAGACTGGTTTGTGTTAAGAATGGTTTAAATGGGGATTACGGATTCTTACCGTGTTACCTGGATTAGTGTTTGTGACACTTTGTTCCTATGGGTTCTTTGCTTGTTTGGCTCTCCCAGCACTGCCCCCTCCCTTCCTGCCTTCTATATTCCAGTCATACTCCCCATTCTATATACTGCTTTGTGCACGTCCTTTTACACTACAGCAACTAACAAAGTGAACTCTATCTCACAAAAACTTATGTTCTGTATACCTTTGATTTACTTTATAAGAAGCAGAAGACAGGGTAGCTTTGCACAAGTAAGGCATCCAAAATTGCTATTTACTTTTGAAAAATGGTAGGTAATTAAGAACAAGGAAATTGTGCAAGCAGTGGAACAGATTCTGACCACCAATATCTGTGCCATCCAGAAAAACCTTGAATGAAACCAAGCTTTTCCAGAAGCAATGGCAGTCAGAATTTGACCCAGTTCTCTAAATCATACAATGTAACTGCAAATCAATGTTGCCACTGAACAATACAATTTTGTACTTATGTCTAGAGAAGCATAAAACTAAAATGCTTATTTGTATCTATTTTTGGCCTCTCTCAAACAGTATTTAAGTACAAGTATACAGTAATCAAGTTCTCTGGAGAGGAGCTGTCTTTTTATTATGTGTCTGTACAATGCCTAGAACTACATGGCTGCAATCCTTGAAGGATCTTTATATTTTAGGGTTAGGATACCATTTTAAATCCATGGGAACAACAGAAGGAGAACTGCTAACAAATGGAGCTCACAAACTCCACAAAGCACGCGTCAAAAGAAAGACACACTGCCAAACCTTTTAAGTCCTAATCATTACAATTAGTATGCACAGAAAAATAGAACTCCCCCTCTCCTATAAGTATACAAGAGTATGGTGACCTACAGTGAGCAATACTTTTAAAATAAACTTACCTCCTTCTTCTCTTGCATTCTTCATATGGGAGGGTTAGAAAGTATCTTCTATTCCATAATTCATTAAGAGGCCTACAATTAAAACACATGGTCATTTTGTCTCACCACTCAGCCATATTTATAGTTTACATTATGTCTCTTTTACAAATAATGTTAAGCTGTTATGAGTCTTACTCATAGTTGTATAGGAGAAAGCCTTCAACAATTAAAATGTGAATTTCTTGTGCACTTCTCAGATTGTCATGTGTGACCTTTGAGTCTCCAGTTGAGAAAGAAGAGCTAGTTGGGTTTTCTATCCATGCATGTATACTTTTCACCATTTCCTCTATGTAAAGGGCATCAAGCACTAGAAGAGAAAGCAAAATGAAAGTTGAATTTTAAGTATTATTATATTTCTCAGTTAATTTTGAAGATTAATAATATGTGATCTAAAAATTAGCACTAAATAAAAGGAACAGAATTACTTTAGAATGAATAGCGATGTGATGGTTACTTAAGTGTTGACAATCCCATCTAGTACTGGAATCCCAAATAACAGCACTACTTACCAGGCTGCTCCATCTAGCTTCATTGTCCAAGCAAACTGAAGCCAAGGAGTTTCATAGTTTCATAGTAGCTAGGGTCAGAAGGGACCTGAACAGATCATCTAGCCTGCCCCCCTGCCACAGGCAGGAATGAATGCTGGGTTCACAAGACCCCAGACAGGTGATCATCCAACCTCCTTTTGAATATGCCCAAGGTAGGGGCGAGGACCACTTCCCTGGGAAGCTGGTTTCAGATTTTGGCCCCCCTAACTGTAAAATACTGCTTTCTGATCTCCAACCTAAACCTATTCTACATCAGCTTATGACCATTGTTCCTCGTCACCCCAGGTGGTGCTGGGGAGAAAAGTGCTCTGCCCATTTGCTGTTGATCCCCCTTGATGAGCCTGTAGGCAGCCACCAGGTCCCCCCTCAGCCTCCTCTTGCTGAGGCTGAACAGGTTCAGGCCCTTCAGGAGTTAAACTGGTATGACTGATGAAAAATAGCAGTAACAAAAAATGTAAGGTTCAAACTAATGTCATAAGTGAGTACGTCAGAATGCAATCACAGGTATTACAGGGGATCAATATTCTCTCTAAGAATGCAATCCATGAGCAATCCTGGCTGAGAGTGAATGGGTATCTCAGTATGCCTACCCCTCCCCACTCCTGGAGCAGCCTGTGGCCAGGTTGGGGCAGGTGGCAAGTGGCCAGATGCAAAGCCAGCGGCGGTGGGGGGGAGCATCAGCGCCCCCTTGCTTCGGCAATGGGCACCCCCCCAGGCGGGTGCCCAAGGGCCATGGCCCCCTACTGGTACACCAGTGTGTGCACGGCATTAAAAAGTTATTGTGTGACATGATTTTTTATTGTGTGCAGCCGCACACGCGCACAGCTTAGAGGGAATGCTGCAGGAGATCACTTGCAGGATATTAAACTAGTACAATGAGAGGAAACCTGAAACAAACCATGGATCTGAATAGTCCAGATTACAATGATAAAAGCTGAATACAGATCCCAAATTTGTATCTAAAGCTGCCTGCAACATATTTGGTCTGTGCAGTCTGAACTCAGTGTAACTCCTTTGGGATGAGGCCCAAATTTTCATTATTTTTATCTGCCCCTTGGAGAGGGCCAGAGGCAGAGATAGGGGAATGCAGGGAATGCAGTAACACATCCCTTTGGTTGTGCAGCAAATGGACAATGACTTCTCTGAGCTCATCATTTCAGGTTCTGCCAGACCCTGCACTGTCACAGCTCTGGAATCCAAAGGGTAAATGTAACCTCCACTCACCCTCCCCTTTTGCACTGCTGCCAAATTCAATGGCAGGGAAGGGAACGTTAGCTCAGCATTCATCCCCTGGATTCTGGACACAGGATAAGGGAACGTTAGGGCAGCATTCATCCCCTGGATTCTGGACACAGGACTCCAGTGGTTGGGCTGATGAGCCGGTGAGCTCAGGGAGCTCACTGAGTGTGCTGTGTAGCACAAAGGGGATTTAAAATCAAACCCTGGACCCCACCCCACAGGGAGGGCTGTGTGGTCTTGGCTCCATATTCATAACTGAAGTTCATGGTGTTCACTTTTCACAGGAAATGCTCAGGTTGATCCTTTGTCTGAAAGTTGGCCTAGGCCCAATAAATAACATTTCATATCATGACATGCAGCTCCACAAATGGGAAGAATAAACACAAAAAAGATATACTTCGTTTGGACTTCTTGCTAATCTAACAACCAAAAACGCTCATTTACATCCCATCTCACCAAATTAGTCTGGAGCCCAAAGAAAATTCCCACTGACTCCAAAGAAGCCAAGATTTTATGCTGGAATGAAAGGTCATTTAACTCTTAAGATCAAATATATAAGATATTAATATTAATTCTTGTTTGACAGTAATTTAACATGTGCTATAGGCTATTTTTTAATATTCTTGTCGAGTGTATTGTTACTTAGTGAACAGCTCAAAAAGGGTTAGAAGACTACTTATGAAAAGTGTTACCCAACATGAATAAGGGTATGAAAACCTGGCCCCAGATGTTTATTTTCGTTATTTAACATTGCAAAATGGTATAATTGGCATTGAATCTGAAATCACAACCAGTAACGCTTTTCAAAAGAATTTCTATTGTAAATTTTCTATTGTGCTTATAAGCAATAGAGAACTGGCAGCATTATGTGCCATACTGAGGAGCTAAGAAATTTCAGGGCTTAAGAAACTAAATTTGCTACAGACAGTTTTATTAGCCTCTGAGGAAAGTACCAGGTATTGTAATCTGTAGTATCTTCTGCCACCCAATCCTCAAAACTTTAGACACCAGCCATAAACACAGAACAACCCAACCCTTCTTATTACACTAAACTACACAGCAGTTGCTTTAGGACCAAGAGAGGGCTTGCCAATTTGTAAAACAAAGGATCAAAAGCTATGAAAAGAAGGTGAAAAATACTGTTACTTGCTGCTAATGGTATTGTGCAGTAGCAAAATAAAAAGTTTACTATAATAAATTGCCCAGCATAATGATTATAAACTGTAAAAATGCTATTTTCTCTTTCCTGTTAAAACCACATTTTAACAAATCCACTATCACATTAGTTTCCCATTTAATTTTGTCAGACATACCACATTAACCTGTCTTCTTAATGAATGAAAAAGAACCCCATCTGAGAGCTACCTTGTCCAAAAAAGGTGAAATACAGCTGAGATTTCAGCACCCAACCTACTAACCATCATACTGCTTAAATCCACGTTCGTCCGTCTCTACTTCAGATTCTGGCTGGAGAGAAAAACAATTAAAATGATTTGAAGGTAGTTATCCAGTCAAACAACAATATTAACACTTTCAACTCTGAAATCTCTCTTGAAACATTCATTGTGGGGATTGGTATTAAAACTCTGTGGGTAAGAGCAGCTAAAAGCCCAGTGGGAGGTGAGGAAGTAAGGTGCGGTGTTACAAAGGGTGCCTATACACATGCTCAGTCTCAATTAATTGCTAAATGTTCTAATTAGAACACTCTAGCATAGCTGCAGCATCCATGTATAAGCCCCCACAGGCATCAAAATGGCCACTGGGTGCTTTACCTAAAGCTCATTGAATGCATCCCCTGACCATTTTTAAATGCATGGAAGCGTAATACACATGATTGTGCACACTGGCTCTGGGGCTGGTCCAGATCAGGAGATGCTGGAGCCAGTGCACAGGACTGGCCTGGAAGGGTACCATGTGCAGCACATACCCTGGAATGACCTCCTGTGCTATGTGCAGGGCACACAGCCAGTCCAGCCCCATGTGCCACAAATAGTAAATGCCAGCCTCAGGGCTTGCTGTACACATGGGACTAGTATTGGGCATGTGTTGCCAACAGCACCCAGGCTGCATCTGGTGGTGCATGTGACACAAGGGGTCGAGAGCACAGGCTGTATGTAGCACCCTAGACTGACCCGTGCTGCCTGCAATACTGGGTCCAGCCTGTGCACAGGAAGCCCTGGAGCCAGTGTGCACTGTGTGGCATATGGTGCAGCACCATGAGAGAGGAAGTGGTGGTGGGGGCAGTTTCAGTCTGACCCACAAACTGGCCCAGCAACCCAGCTATACATGGAAAAATTATTAATTTTTTATAATTTTTCCATTTATAGAATCTAGTTGTTGAAGAGTCATTTTAAATGTGTTCCCCTCACCCACCACTGCATGGCTGGACAGGGGCCAGAGCCCAAGCCAGAGCTATGACAGGGGGTAAGTGGTAGTGGCATGTGTGGGAAGCAGAGGTTGTGGGGAAGCTAGTAGCTGTGGCTCTGACTCTGACACTGAGCCTGGAGCTGCAGCAGCTGTCTGTTTCCTTGACTGCACATTGAATGTGAGAGGGACCTCACCTTCAATTCAAATAAATACTGTATCTAAAATGTTGGAGGCCAACTTCTCTGTCAGTCTCAAAGACATATGGAAATCTCAAGCACACCCCCTTCTTGATCACTCTTTTAGTCATCCATAGGTTTTTTGGCTTGCTGGTGTCTATAGTCTTTGTTTTTAATTTTTTGACAGCAGCTTCTCATAAGAACAAAGATAGGATGGCTATTGCTGTGGATTCCACTATTGATTTGTTTATTTCCAGCTTTGTTTGTTATTTTGGTCTCCCTGAATCTATGCTTTTAAAACAGCTGCTGCTTCTTTGACTAAAAGTCCCACCTCTCCAGCAAGTCTATGGACTCTTTTTTATAGATGCATGCTAAATATCTACGTGCTAATTTTTATTTAGTTGCAGTCTTCACCCTTTCTTGTTCAGCTGGACTTCCTTGTGGTCCTTTCTCTTTTCATCACTGATTTTTTTAGCTCAGTGAGGGCCAACCTTTTTGGCAGGTATGACACAAATGAGCCCATCATCTCCAAGTGCCACTCTGATCCCCTTGTCCTGCCTGATATGCTACTCAGTTTTCTGTTCCCTGTCCTGTGCTTCCCAGCTGCTCTGATGCTCTACTTTCTGCTCCCTGGCCTATGTGCCACTGAGCTGTCTGTCCCCTCCCAGATCTGCCACATGCCACACATGGATGCTGCTTGTGCCATTTGTGGCACCCATGGTGCAGGCTGGTCACCCTTGGTTTAGCTGTTTTAGAAATTAATAGCATGTTAATCTCTTTGCTGATATCTTTTGCTCCCAGGAGCCTTTTATTTAGTTCAACAAATAACACTTCTTCCTCTGGCAACTGGCAGCTTTTATTTATTCCTCTCTTAAAGTGACTCTTGAGTTGGCTTGCTTGTATTCTTTGTTCATTAGGTAAGGCTAGATGTGTTCTTCTCTTCTCTTGTATTGTGAGAGGCCACTCTTGAAACCAAATGGCCTAGAAAAAAATTTGCAGGGCAAGACACCAACTGGGACCTGGTGTTTCTGCTGTCCCTTGCACTGCAGAATATGGCACAGAAGACTGAGGTGATTAGCATTACACTTTTCACATCCAGAGCACTGACAAATTGCCTCCCTAACCCCATGAGTACCTTTCCTATGGTTAACTTTTGCCACATGTTTGTTATAGACTGGGCAGGCCAGAGTCTCATTGGGCTACCCTATTATATTAGTATGGGTTCACTACCTGGCTGCTCTGTATTCTTCAGAGTATCTGGTTGTACAAGGCATGAACAGAAACTTGCGAGGACAAAACTTTAAGTTTTTATATAATTACTCCTTGAGTCCTAACACTGACCATGATAGGAGGGAGAATTCAGGCCCCTCCAGAGGGGGCTGAATTTTCTAGTGCAGGGAGAAAACTTTCCATTTCTGGGAAGACCAATATGTTTATTTCCAGGGGGATGGAATGGTGTTCTTATTTTCTCTTTGCTATTTAGAATTAATAAATTCCAGACTGGGAATATGGTTTGGAGTTATTAAAACATCTGCAGTATTTAAAAAAAAAAAAAAAACCCATCAAGGAAGCCTCCCTAGCTCTAATCCAGCTTTGTTTTCTCTGGACCATCAGTTTGATGGCCACAGAAAGGAATTTCATCTTCAAAGCCTTGAGGGTCCAGGAATGTTGCACAGTAGCCCCACCCTCCGGCCATACTGTCACAAAAGTCTCATTTTTTGCCACTGAGGAATGACTCTGTATGGCATTTCCACTGTATGCCATTAAGAAGCTTTTCACTTAACTGCACTATTGGTAGATCAGTGAATTCTAACCAATAGATCAAAAGCAACTATGAGAATTGTATATCCTGTGGTCATTCGGGGCGCCAGTTGGTTTGCCTTTAGGTTCTATCTGGAGGGATTGTGGAAGGAGGCCAAAGCTCCAGCTAGTCAATGACCCAGAACTATGATCTATAACATTTAAGAGAAATAGTCAGTGGTGCAGAGTAGTCACGAGTTACAGGGCACAATGACAGGTAGTCTTCCACTTGTGTTCCCACAATCCTTTATACCTGTGCCTTATGGCCCTTCTCCACACTTCACCCTCTTCTCCTCTACACCCCAGCAGCTAGATAGCTTTTCACATCACCCTTTTCAATATCTCATTTTCCTTGTAAGAACATAGAAAGTGACATACTGGATCAGAGCAATGGTCCATCTAGTCAGGGATCCCATCTTTGACAGTGGCAGAAGCAGACGCTTTCAAGGGAGATAAGTGAACTGGGTATACTCAGAGTGATCTATCCCCTGTTCATTGGCTTCCCTAGCATCCACCATCATTGGTTTAAAGATGCCAAAGGAAACATGTCAGACTGTTCTGTTTAATGGCTATTAACAGATCTATCATCCATTAATTTGTCTAGTTGCGGGCTGCTCCAGATTGCCAGGACAAGGAAGTCTCCTGACATGCAATTACCAGGCCAGAGAAACACATTTTCATTTGATTTATTATTTGGAGGGAGACCTTGGAGCACCGGTCTGACCATAAAAACACTATCCCTAGCCTACTTGCATAGCTGGGCATTCATAAGACTGGCTTGCTGTGGTGACAGCATATTCTGCAAAGCACGCACACCAGAGAACTAGTAATTTACCTGTGTCACACCCTTGCTATGCAGAACTCCATAAAGGTGCCTGCCAGTACTATTATCCTCCTGAGGTTCCATTCTAGAAACTAGATCTTCTTTACAGACAGGAGACTCTTGGAGAAGGACAGCACCTAACCCCACACTGCACCAGCAGAGGCAACAGCAATGGGGGAAACAGTATTCTAGCTCAGCAGCTGCTGTCTGCTGAGCTCACTACTGCTTTGACAAAGTGTGAGGCAAAGCATAGGGGCAATTAATTCATAGCTAGGAAGAATTTTGAATTTCCTGTATTGTGACAGGCTCAGGATAAGGGCAGAATCCATATCCTCTCTCATACTTCCTCCTGACTCTAGACCCCAAGACACACAGAATAAGCATGAGAGGTTCTGGAATAATGCCTCATTGATTTCATCTACAGTTGCATGATCAGATGCCTCTAAGGATATACTATGCAAGGCAAAAAATGCTCTCCACACACAAACTGCCAAGCCTGTAAAACCAGTTTTTCTTTTCACTACAATACACAAACGCTTACAGAACAATGGAATTGTGAACTATGAGAACAACACTGGTCAGGGTTAAGAGTAAGAGATCCATTATATAAGAACTTGGCTTTGTCTCTGCAAGCCTATTTTCATGCAAGGTGTTCACAGACAAGAGAGGGGGTTTTTTTTGGCAAAGGTCCTCTTGAGCATTCAGTTTCTAAAGAGATAAAACACTAAACCCCTTGACAACAGAGTTTGAGGGGGTCAGTTCACAGCTATCAAAATAACATTAACTTCAGCAACTTAATAATGTCCTCTCTCATCTTTTGATATTCTGGAAAAGTGATATCCGAACCCCTCCAAAACCAAAAAAACCTCCTCTCACGCAGAAGCAATTTTAGTCATTCGGGCAAGTAAGCAGCTAGGGTAAATACTGCCAGTCCGGTTCTTTAATGCAGTTGTTCCCTCCACTCACTGATGTGATGCTGTCACCAAGTTCTTAAGAATCATCTCTCTGCATAGATTCAAGGAACTTCTGCACCGGCCTGAAATTCTACTTCTCTTTTCCACTCAGTTATCTCTAAAAATAGATGCCCATAATGCATCACCCAGACTGAAAAACACCAGGAAACCCCACCTGATAAGGCAGACTCAGTTATGAAATGCATCTCTCCTAGCAATGTCCAAAGTTACTAAACATTTTTAAGCAGAGTTTTAAATAAAAAGGGAGGTGTCGGGAGGGAAAAGTTACCATGTACTCAGTACTGTTCATTTTTGCCTACTACCTCTGGATGCTCATGAATGAAAAAG